GCTGTCCATCCCCCAGGGAGGAGGCTATATGTAGACCTTGTCATCTGTTCCCCCTTTCTCCCTCACCTTCCCTCCACCCTCCCACTGGTCCTGGGAGGTTCATCTGTCCTTGTTTTTAGCACATTTTTAATGCAGTTTTTGTGGTAAAATTCGGTGCCTCAGCTGATAATGATGGTCAGCTTATACTCGAGTATATACGGTGTATCCCAATGGGAGACTCTACCTTTATAATGTCCATCATTGGACACTTTTTGAACCTAATTTCTATCCAGCCCTTGATGACCTAGGCCCTATGCTGTAGACAACTACATCCTTCATAGCCCACACCAGAAAGATCCAGTGTGGAAACCCCACTAAGTGAAATTGACTCTACCTTAAAACACACCGGCAGCAGACTGAAGGAGCTGAAAATGCTCTAGTGTGAGAAGAAGCAGATGACTACTATCGCAAGATTATTGAATAGTGGTCATTGGTTCAGATCCCTTACTTTGAGGGTGCCCGACGCATGGCACCTCAGGATTACCATGCATTTGCCTCCTCATAGAGTCTCTGCTTTTTTATGACGTGTCTTAGTCCAGCAGCATCACTCTACCTTTGTGAGTGAGCATTAATGAAAGTTTTACCCCATCTCTAATCATTGTGTAAATAGTATCCATGCACTTAATCTGTATAAGTCAACAATCCATATATTTTAGTCTAAAAAGCCGTTTTATACATATATGCTTTTCTTTTCTCAGCAGTTTTTAAAATTCTGTGTCCTTGACTAAATTAATGATACTATCAATAGAGTTACCATATGCCACATGGGGATGACTTATACTGTTCTTCAATAAAATGATAAGGGTGTCTCTAAAATGAGTCAGAGATAGATGGATAGATATAAACCATAGATAAGTGAATTTTGAACTCACACGTCATGTCATAACCCTAGTCTAACAACAATTAATTCTTATCATGTGACCCTGCTGGATGCTCCCCTCATGAAGACACCACTGAAGATATGAGTACTTTAGTAAAGTATGGCGAAAATATCAGATGGTACCTGGGTATCAGAAAGAATATCAGGATCCTAAAGGCTAGTCTTAGACCACGCAGCTGTGTAATTGAGGTGTTGGCTAAGTCCATACAGAAGAAGCACAACCAGCCTGTGTGATCCAAGGCTTGTAAGTAATAAAATCCAAGACTGGAGAAGAGAACCAGTATAAGACCTTACATTCTGTCACAGTGAAGGCCCAAAATCCATTTGCAGGGTTTCCACAGGATTAAGCCTCGGTGAGTTGCCTCTGACCATTGACTCGGGATGTGAATAGCCTTGTTACCAGACAGAGTATATTGAAAAGTGGGTTAAGGCTGATGTTGTTAGGTTAAAAGTTAACACCTTATCATATGTTCTCCCTTTTGACCTATTTTAAATTTGTTTTACTTTTTAATATTTTCTGCTTTCTTTTTGATTGAGGCTTTTTTCTCTTTTGTTGTTATTGGACTTTTTGGTCTTTTAAATTTTGTTGTGTGTGCGCGCGTGTGTATGAAACCCAGGATGGGTAAATCTATTGAGACAGTAACTGGATTAATAGTGTCTTAGGGTTATGACAGAGGAGGTTGGGGGACATGAGGAGTTAATAACGATGAGTAGAAGAAAGAAGACAATGTTCTAAAATTGGTTTTGGTGGTGACTGCACAATATTAAAAAACGTTAAACCATTAAATTATATGATATGTGAACTATATGTCTCTAAAGCTTAAAAATATTGTGTGTGATCAATTTTTGTTGGTGGAAGAGTAAGATATGTTTGGCTTTCCTCAGGGTTTAGAAATAGTGTTTCGAGTAGGATTAGCACTTCTCCAAATGAATCAAGCAGAACTAATGCAGCTTGACATGGAAGGTATGTTGCAGGTAAGTCAGTTCATTAATTTCCTGATTCCTTTTTGTTTTGACTGTTGAGCGGTTAATAATATGGGCACTAAGTAGTTCTAATGCTTTTCTTTTATTGTACCTTAGCACTTTCAAAGAGTCATTCCACATCAGTTTGATGGCGGAACAGACAGATTAATCCAGGCGGCGTACCAAGTCAAATACAACTCAAAAAAAATGAAAAAGTAAGTCCTATAAAGCTACCATACTGTAAACTAGTATGATACTCCCTGCTATAATCTTAGACATAGAGACCAATGGTATAGAATTGAGAGTCTCTGGGTGGTATAAGCAGTTTCTGTTTGATTATAAACCAAAGGGTAAGCAATTTAAACCCACCCAGCAGTGCCATGGGCTAGAGGGCTGGCAGTGTGCTTCCATAAAGACTACAGCCCAGAAATTGTATGGAGTATTTCTACTCTACCACAGATGATCCTGCCATGACTTGCAGTGACTTATGGCAACAGGACTTTCTGTTTTGTGTTCTACTTAGCGTAGATTTGCAAGAAAAGTACATTTAATTTATTTGCCTTGTCTCTCTACTCCTCCATTCTGTGACAGTTCCTCTACCTTTTCTTATCATTCATAACCTTGATGCTTTAATAAAGAGAACTGACTATCAGATTTTGGTCTGTTTGGTGTTTCGACCTTGATTAGACTACGGGGTTACACATGCTTGGGGAGGATGCTGGAGGGTGACATGCTTTTCTCACGGCATCACAATCGAGGGCTCATGATGTCAGTGCTGGCGATGCTAACTTCACCTCCGGCCAGCATCCTTTACTGGAAGCGGACCATTTCCACCCGTGTTCCTATTACATATTTTGAGACAGATACTTTGAGACTGCTTAAATGGTGGCCCCCTAACATTCATTAACAGCAGTTATGGTTGTGGTATTCTAATGTTAATTTTAAAATTACTGTAACCTTGCCCCGTGTATGTTTATTAGTTGCAACTCTTAGTAATTGAACTATTGTTCCCTTTTCCATATAATGTACTTTTAAAAATCAACTATAGTGCTTTTAAGTCAAAGTCTGAATAGATTATGTAACCATAGTCTTGTGTTTGTTACCTACACTTGTATATTTTTACTTCTGAACTCTACTATTATGTATTTCTTACGTCACTTGAGAAGTGATTTTTTTTGGGTAAGAGCTATTATAGTTCGATTTACATGCTGTTTCTCATAATGAATGTCTCAAGTTTTAATTTCAGCAACCTAAAGAAATTACAGTTTGTGTCTGCTAATACAGTGAAACCTGTGAGAGCTGTATCGCAATTAAACTGCCTTGTTTTTCAACTTTTCTGCCTCTGACAGTCATACCACTTTAAAAAATGTTTAATCTCTATTAGTGGGAAATGTTTGAGTTTTCCTTCTTTGATAGATTTCTGCCTTACTTGGGTTCTGACTTTCACAAGTGTTACTGTATATTTTAAAAATATTTAAAAACTGGTTTTGAGCACATACCTTTAACTCTTCATTTTTCTTTCTTAGGCTTGAAAAGGAATACACTACGATAAAAACTAAGGAAATGGAAGAGCAAGTTGAGATTAAAGTAAGCATCTCAGAACTTTGTAAAGAGCCGGAGATTGATTGTAGTCAGTTATTTGGCAATAGGATGCTGAGTTGTATTGATACATTGTTGCCTGCAGTAAATTCAGCAAGTTTTTTTTCTGTTACCATTATTTTACCATTCCACTAAATTAAAGCTGTAAACAAACATTTTAAAAAGCCAGGATAATGTGACTGTAGTGACTTTTTCTAGTATGAAAGAGAGCAGTTCTTTGTTTTCTAGGTTGGCTGGCAGGTCATCAGGATGGGATACCTTCATAGGGAAGCTAAGTAAAAAAAAAAGAAAGTAGTAGGGAAGATAACCTATTGCCCGGTCTGTGCTTAGACACCACTGCAGGATAGCATGAGGCAGGCCAAGTAGAGCAAAGTGGGAAGCATTGCACTCTTGCACTTAATGATGGCTGCCTTAGACCTGTAGGAAGTGTTGACTAATACAGTTTTCTCTTCTCTAAGCCACACTTACACTTTTGAACTTCTCTTCCAGAGAAACAGATTGGTTTTCAACTCGAGAGGCATGCAAATTCCTTATGTATATCCTAAAACTCCTGTTTGTACCTCCTCAGGCCAAGGAACTATTAGTTGAGGGTCTTTTGGCACCATGGGGAGTTGGGGCTTAAGGCAAGTTACGTTGTTTTAATGCTACTATTATGGGATGCAGATGATGAGAGGCCGCACGGGATAGTCAAGGAACCCAGTGACCAGTTGACTAATTATCCTTCTTCCTTCTCACATAAAATGTTTTAAGACCCCAAGCCAAGCAATTTTTATTGAATGATTTCATTTTTTAAAATGTACACATTTGGGTTTCTGCTTTTGATTTGGGCATGGCACAATACCAGAAGACTGCCTCATTAACAATTAACGATCTATTGAGTTTTGTTATCAAGTACCATTTTCTTACTTATACCCACAGGGCCCTGTTACAAAGGAATGGGATTTATTAAACTCTTTCCTGCCAGGGTCCTCCTCTAAAGCCTTGTGGGTGATAGTCTCTCCTATTTCCTTAGGTGACTTATTTTTCATAAACTTTGGCCTCCTTTTCTGGGTATTTTTATTCTCTGTCAGTTAGAAATAGATATTTACACATTTCCGAAAGAGATAAAAGACCCTTCGTTATGGATAGTTCCCCCCATCCCACCCGCCTTAAAAGAAATCTTATCACTTGTTGCTCTACCCTTTGCTTTGCTTTTAGGTCCCATGAGTAAGGGCAATATCAATAGACTCTGCACGTGAGTCTGCTGAATGTGCAGTACGCCATCCTGATGCGTGTGGTGAGAGTATGGTTTCACACCCCAGGAGTACTCAGGACTGCAAAACCGAGGCTCTGAGGATGGGGAAGCCATCCTGGGCTTTTCACCATGCCGTGTTATTACAAATATCAGTTATATGACTACCCCTTGCTTTTGAACAAGTTTCTATAATTAAGTCACGTGAACACAGGAATACAAAAAAGGCATATTCAAAAAGATCTTTAGACTTTAATTGAATTGCCAATTTTCGAAATTAATTTGATTTTTTGGGAAAATCATAGTTCATATATCTTAAAGAACTTTTGAGTTCCTGGAGTCCCCTGGCAGACACCAATGACATAAAATTAAGAGAAGAATCTGGGGAAAAAAAGAGTTAGTTAGGGAGCATAACAAGTAAATAAAGTATGCTGATTTCAGAGGTAGTCTCTTTTTTCCCCTCATAATTCTATTTTCACATAGCACTTCTTTTTTTTAATCGTTTTATTAGGGCCTCATACAACTCTTATCACAATCCATACATACATCAGTTGTGTAAAGCACATATGTGCATTCATTGCCCTGATTGTTCTCAAAACATTTGCTTTCCACTTAAGCTCCTGGCATCAGGTCCTCATTTTTTCCCCTCCCTCCCCGCTCCCCCCTCTCTCATGAGCCCTTGATAATTTATAAATTATTATTTTGTCATATCTTGCCCTGTCCGACATCTCCCTTCACCCACTTTTCTGTTGTCCGTCCCCCAGGGAGGAGGTCACATGTAGATTCTTGTAATTGGTTCCCCCTTTCCAACCCACCCTCTCTCTACCCTCCCAGTATCGCCACTCACACCACTGGTCCTGAAGGGATCATCCGCCCTGGATTCCCTGTGTTTCCAGTTCCTATCTGTACCAGTGTACACCCTCTGGTCTAACCAGACTTGCAAGGTAGAATTGGGATCATGATAGTGGGGGGAGGGGAGGAGCATTTAGGAACTAGAAGAAAGTTGTATGTTTCATCGTTGCTACATAGCACCCTGACTGGCTCATCTCCTCCCTGAGACCCTTCTGTAAGGGGATGTCCAATGGCCTGCAAATGGGCTCTGGGTCTCCACTCCGCAATGCCCCCGCTCATTCACTATGGAAAGATTTTTTGTTCTGATGATGCCTGATACCTGATCCCTTCAACACCTTGTGATGGCACAGGATGGTGTGCTTCTTCCATGTGGGCTTTGTTGCTTCTGAGCTTGATGGCCGCTTGTTTACCTTCAAGCCTTTTAAGACCCCAGATGCTATATCTTTTTTTTTTTTCTTTTGATAGCCGGGCACCATCAGCTTTCTTCGCCACATTTGCTTATACCCATTTGTCTTCAGCCATCGTATCATGGAAGTGAGCACACAATGATATGATTTTTTGTTCTTTGATGTCTGATAACTGATCCCTTGGGCACCTCGTGATCACGCAGGCTTGTGTGCTTCTTCCATGTGGGCTTTGTTGCTTCTGAGCTAGGTGGCTGCTTGTTTACCTTCAAGCCTTTAAGACCCCAGATGCTATATCTTTGGATAGCCGGGCACCATCAGCTTTCTTCACTTATTTGCTTATGCACCCGCTTTGTGATGGGCCATTTGACTACATGCCACTCATTTGTTTCTTTTCTTACTATTCATTGGTTTGAATATATTGAGAAGAGTTATATAATCATCATAATCCGTTTTTGTACTCATTGTTTTTAACTCCCCATTTCCCTCCAGCCTTCCCTGCTATAACACTAAGAAACTGGTAATCTATTCTAGAGCCTCTCTCTATAGATTTACTTATTCTGGATTTCATATAAATTTTAATTTCATTTTAAAGAAAATGATATAAAATCCACCTCCCAAACGACAGCAAAGTTAAACAAAGAAAAACCCCACTCCAAAGGAAAACAGAAAATAACAAAAATGAGAACAAATAAAAAATGGATCAAAAGGGTAAACATTACTAAATGTTAAAATATAACTTCAGTATATCTGCATTAATTCACTTTCCCTTTGTGAGGGACAGGCTATTCGCTTGTCTTCAGTGAAGTCTTAACGGATTTTGGACCTTCACTGTCATCTCGACCTCTGTAAACTGGGTGTTCAGAATTTAAGCTGTAGTACAATTCCCTCTTCTATTCTTGGATTTTATTATTCACATTTCTTGGATCACACAGGCTGGTGTGCTTAGCTGATACCCTTAATTCCTATACTAGCTTCATGAAAGAGCTCTCACTTTCATTCTTCAGTGAAGAAATTAAGCTTCAGAAAGCTCAAAAAAAAAAAAAAAAAAAAAGCTCACATTATATACCATTGGTCACATTGCTAGAATATAGTGAAAATCAAGGATTTTAACTCTGATTTGTACAGGTATTAATTTAAGATGATATATGTCCTTCACGGATACTGTATATACTTGAATATAAGCTGACCTGAATATCAGCCGAGGCACCTAATTTTACCACAAAAACTGCATTAAAAATGTGCTGAAAAACTCGGCTTATACATACACGAGTATATACGGTATACACTGTGCTGCTTTCTAAGAGAAATTTTGATGTATTAGTGATGTAAGAAGAATTAAGATGCCAATTTTCCTGTGGCATTAAAAACTTTCCATTAAAAATTAGTGGCTCCATTATCCAATGAGGATATAAGAAAACAAAAATCGGCCCCAAACTCACTGCTATAGAATCGATTCCAATAATATGACCGTACAAGACAGAGCAGAACTGCTCCTATGGGATTCTGAGACTGCAACTCTTTAACAGGAGTAGAAAGCCTTATCTTTCTACCACAAAGCAGCTGATGGTTTCGAACTGCTAAACTTGCAATCAGCAGCCCTCTAGCATAAATTATTCAGCAGTTCATTAGTAGATACATATAGCCCCTAACTAACCACCAAAAACTGTTCTGGCACTCTCTACCCTTCTGGAGCTCAAGTTCTGGTGTGAAAGACTATAAACAAAGATGTAAAATGTAGAGTATTTTATATGACAATAGATGTTAAGGTGTTAGTTGTGGCTGGGGGTGAGGGTGGAGGGGAGAAAGTACCTCAGGGAAAAACTAAAGTCACTGCCATCCTGTGTATGCCAACTCACAGTGACCCCATAGGACAGGGTAGACCTGCCCCTGCGAGTTTCGGAGCGGGGATGTAAAAATGTTAGTTCTGGGGTTGAAACCTTAGAGAAGGGAACCAGATGACTTGAATAATAAAGACTTGAAAGTAATGAGGGTGCCTGATAGAAGGTTATCTGAAAGAGAGGCAGAACTTGGTCTGGAGTTTGCCTAGCAAGGAATAGTAATAAAGCCATTGTGGCCAAAAAAGAATAACCAAGAGAGTGGTGCGGTGAGGTGGGGGAGGGTGGTGGCAGATGATACAGGGTGTTGTAGATCGTTGTAAAGGTCTGTCGAGATGGGAAGCCACAGGGTTTTCGGTAGAGGAGGACGTCTGTGGACCCTCCGGATGCTGCATGGAGACTGGACTGCACTTGGTGAGCAGAATCGGAGGTGACCTGTAAGCTAATGAAGTACTCAGGCTAAGAGACGATGACCATGTGGACTGAGGAGAAGAGCAATGATTGAATTTTGAACATATTGGAAAAGTAACACTAACAGGTGGAATGTGGAGGTCAGAAAAGGAGAAGGAACTAAGTGTTTTGGCCCGAGCAATTTGCAAAATTGAGCTGCTAGTTTCTGAAATGGTGAAGGCTACAGGGTGATCTGGTTTAGGAGGGACATCG